CTCCAGGAGAGAAAGCCCTGTATCCATCCTGTTGACTATTGTGTCCAGATAGGTGTCTAGTTGGGTGCCTGAAATATAGAAAGCAATCAATAAATGTTCATTGAATGAACTAATAACTTGTTAAATAAATACATGAATGAGTGCTTCAGTCTTTCTTATAGTAATCTCAGGCATCAGCAAATGGTGCAGCTTTAGCTGTCTCTGTGATCTTTCCTTTATCAGGCATCTTTGGGTGGGGATCTGTGCTTGCAGTTTCCCCCTATATTCTCCTAGATGTTGGTAAGACCTGAGGCTTCCTGTGTGCACTGCATCCCCAAACCATAACCATGGCTCTGTGGGAGCTGCTCTTCTACGACCTGGCCTGTCCTACCTCCCCCACTGGCAGGGTCCCACCTGCTTGAGCAAATGCAGGGAGGGTGGTTAGGATGGCATCCCAGCACTGTTGTCTGTCCCCCTGCATGCCAGTCCCGTGCCTATCATTTTCACAGTACCATCCATGTTAAACAGGCAGGAGCACCAGGGGTTTCTGAATGCAGCAATTAACAAAACAGTAATCAAGCTAAGTGTTTAATTTCAGAAAATTAACATCTTCTCTGAGCGGATGTGAAAGATGGAGGAAAAAGGCACATTGAATGTTCTGGGTAAATAAAGGCAACGCTGGACCACAATTATTTTTCAGTGCAAGGGAGACTCTTTGCCAATCCCTCAGGCCTCAGGATCAGTTTTCTTCTGACAGCCAAACTGCAGGAAAGCCTTAGCTGTAGAATTGAGCCCTAAGATTTTAAAGTGTGTGCGTTTCTTTCTTTCTTTCTTTTTCTTTTTTTTCTTTTTTGACAGTAGAGCAAATGCTTTCACCATTCAGAAGAGCTTGGGGGAACAAGAGCCCAGTCATGCCCCCTAGGAGTGCATCTGCCCTGTACAAACTCCCAATGTGATGTATGTTGCCCTTCTCTGAATTGTACTTGTTAAAGGGACAGTATGGTGATTTCTTGGATGTGCATTAGTTGTTTATGTGCTTAGGCTCTATTTCTCCTGGCAGACTGAGGGCTCCCAAGGGAAAAGGCCATGTCTTTCTCCTCCTAGTAAACCCTGCCCCTCAGCAATGTGTCCTCTGCTATAAGGTGTCCTGGCTGACCTTATACCATGTCACACTCTGGTGCTGCCTCCTAAACCAGTGGGCTGGTTTTTGTTTGCAGGAAGAGGCTTGTGTGTAGGGAGGGAAGCTTGCTAGGAGGTGGGTGTGCAGGGGACTGGGTCCCTAGAAGAACAGTGAGGTCCTGGGAGTGAGTGCCTGGGATAGAGGACTGGAAGAGCAAGGAAAGTGGCTTTGCGTGAGGGATGCTATGAAGTTTGAGGCACAGAGAGACAGTCTTGAGACTATGTGATGAGATACCATCAGTAACTGGAGGCAGGGCTCTCAGAGGGGCACTGAGCCTGGCACTGCCCGAGGAAGCACTGAAAACCACGTTCCCACAGGACCACAGGTCCTTGGGTGGGGGTGCCTGGCCATCTGGCTTAATAAGCAATGTTCCTTGAGGGGTCTCGCAGGCAGCTGACATGGAGAACAAAGAAAGCAAAGGAGGAGAATGAGAGTATAGTTTGCGAGTGCAGAGGAGACATCCCCAGTGTCTCCCAGAAGTATTCAGGGACTGCATCAACAGAAAACAGGTTTTGGTTCTGCACATGCATAATTTGTGGAGAGTTTGAGTACTCAAATCAGGATATTACTTATGCAGTTGGATATTCAGGCTTCTATTTTCTCTGGAAGGTGGGAAATAAGATTGGTTGCTGAGAGTGAAGGGGAAAGCATTGGGGTTGAAAGTTTGAGGAGAATGGAAAAGGCTTGGCAGTGCTATTGAAGAGAATGGGAAATGGAACTATTCAGGTAAATTCAATATTTCTGGAAAGTACTGAGAGCTCATTTGAAGTTGGTGATCACATGTTTAGAAAGCCGCCTCTTTTTCTTCTTATGTGGCTTTCTCAGCAGTATATGGCTCCTGGACAGCAGGCCCTACCGGAAACAGATCACAAATATATCTCTGGTTGAGTTTTGACAGTCATATGCTCTGAAAAGATAAAGGCAACGTATGCCTAAGGGTTTGGGGAGTATTGTGAATTATGTTATTGCAAAGATGGAGCCTAAGATGGATAATAATGGATATGAATAAAGGAGAAGGCTGATGCATTCGGTGGAAGTAAATGCCAAGAGGCCAGATGAGGCCAAAAAAGAGTTGCAGTGGGCTCATCTGAGGTGGTGAGGAAGCAGAATATTTAGACTTGTGATTTTGAAAATTGAGTGACTTTAGGCAAAGCAGAGTCTAAGTGTGCCATGGGAATTGGCAGGCATGGAAGAGTTGCAGAGGCCAGGGAACTGAGATTATATTGTTTAAGTGAACATTGAAGTCACACACAGGAGGGCAAGGCTCAGGGTAGAGAGGAAGACAAAGACAGAAGCTCATGCCTCCAATGAATGGGGCTGTGATGGTGGGAGTATATGGTGGTCCCAAGACCTGGAGAGTGGTGGTCTAGCCAAATGGCATTTTTGCGAAGGGTGCAGGAGATGGCGATTGATGGTGTGAAACAGACAGTCAGGAGCAAGAATGACACACCCCACTTCCTGACCCTGAGGTGTGCTGGATGCAAAATCATAAACTGTCACCAGTTGAGAGGGCTGCAAGGCAAAGGTATCCTCGAGGGACAGCTGCTCTTCCTTAATGCAGACATGGAGTGAAGGCTCTGAGGGAAGGTGGTGGGTACAAGGGAGTTTCCTGATTTGTAAATGAAGGGCCCAGGGCTGGGGTGTGCTCAGTAGTCAAAGGGAAAGTCAGAATCAAGGAGAAGAGACCCAGAACTCCATGGGGTTGGTGATGTCCAGAAAGGGGCTAAAGAGTGGGCATGGCAGGATGGAAGCCAGCCTGTGGAGCCTGGTGGGCTGCTCTGAGGAGGAGGGGCTCTGGACCTTCAAGCCAGAAGACTCAGACCTCCAGGCCTGGAGGAGGATGGTCACAGTGACTGCAGGTGCAGCTCCCCTGCCCAGCATTGGTGGCAGTGATGTCAGCCTTAGGGCAGTAGTGGTGGGTCCTCCAGCTGCATTAGGGATTCGGCTGAATGTGTGAGAGTGAGAGCCAGATGTAACAGGGGCACACAACCTGTGATGGGGTATCTCCTGTGGCCTCTCCACTGCTAGTGTTTAGAGTGGACTGCCGTTCATGACCAATCATTAAATAGACCAAAGCTGTCAGTGCTCTGCTCTTGCCCCACACCTGGGAAAGGCTGGCAGACCTGAGGGGAGGCAGAGCCCTGTGACATGCCCCAGCTGACATGTGAGTACCAATGGTTGTGTCCTCAGCAGCCGTCACAGTGCTTAGATGCCTGCCTGAAGAGTATCCTGCTCCACACACACCTCCACAGCCTCCCACAGTTGCAGGGTCACAGAGTGCAGGTTTGCTATAGTTTTCACATAAATAGCACCTTCTAAGGCACCTTTTGATTCCCCCAGCAGGGAGGAGGACCTGTGGGAAAATGCCAGGTTGCAGCGACCCAGGAGGCAGAGGTGCCACCAGGAGCACACTGCAGCCTGCCTCCTCCAGGCACAGGGCTCTGCACACTTCTACCATGGGTGGGGACCCCTGCTCTCCCTGAGGGCACAAGGGGGGTCCCAGAAGGCAGTGCCCATCCATTAGTGATGCTGATGTAACTCAATGTCCCCCACCCCTATGCCTGGCCTCCTCAAGGCTCTGGAAATGCAGAGTGCATGAGTTGTGAGGAGGGACCCCTACACTGGTCTCAGGGAAAGGAGGCCCCGCTGTTTCTGGCTCTGCACTAACCTTCTGCAGACTTGGGGATGTCACTTTCCCCTCTCTCATCTTCATTGCTCTAATCTATAAATTGTAAGAGCTGACCAAAACTGAATGGTCTCAGATGCCCTGTCAAAGTTTAACATTCTGATTTCTAGGTTTCTAGACAAGCAGTTCTCAAACTTGAGCGTGTGTCAGACTCCTGTGAAAGACCTGTTAAAACATAGATTGCTGGGCCCACACCCAGAGTTTCTGATTCACTGAGTCTAGGATGTTGCTCTGGAGTGTGCCTATCTTACCAGTTCCCAGATGAGGCTGATCTGGGACTACATTTTGAGAACTTACAGAGTCAGATGTATGATCCCAATAAAGAACGGCACCCCCCCCCCAAACACATACACATCAAAAGTAATATCATAAATGAGGGCCACTGCTATAAACCCACATTCCCCGATCAGCCACCAACCCTTAACCCCCACCTGTCACTCCCCCATTCCCCTTTGGCACGGAACCGAAAAACCCTTAGTGGATGGACCAGTGAAAGAGAAGCCTGTGGCTCCCTGCCTTGGGGTGTGAGACTGAAGGCCAGGCCTGAAGCCCTCATTTATTATCCCATTCACATCTCAAATTCAGCCAGAATTCTATAACAGCACGGAGCAGGGTACACACCTAAGGAAGTCCTCTTTCCCCAGGTGACTCCCAGAGTAGGGAGGAAGATAGGAAGTGAATGTCAGAGACATCTCAAGGCAAAACCTAGAGTAAAAGCAAACAAGAAACCAATGTCCACAATAGAGGAAAACAATGAGAAGAATAATTAATTCTGCTTTTGTATTTATACCCAGTCTCCGAGTTAATTGCTTATTTGTTTAATCTACTTTGACCAGAAGTGTTACTGCACCAAAAATATTTAATGAGTCAGGTCTTCTAATGTAAAATTCAAGCATCGTTGTGCAGTGGAATGAGTTTTCATCTACAGTGGGAGAACCAGTTATCTAAGCAGGACCTTTTCAGCAAAGTTACCTCCTAGAATAGAAATGTCAGAGGAAACACAGTTAATCTGTATTGCAAATTGTTCCTCTTTGGTCATGAGTACTAGAGGGCTGGAAGTCTTTAGTTGATATTTAAATACGAACTTTGGTTTTTGGATATGGGATGTGTTTCATATACTAAAAAAAAAAAAAAAAAAGGTGGCCAGCCAGCCCAATCCTTCATTCCCAACCCCATCACTCATAGCTTCTAGGATCTCACAGAAGTCCCTCGAGGGGACTTCTAGAGACTGCTCAGCATTGTTTGGGTCTCTCTATAAACCTTACAGAGTCTGGGTTAGGGAGATAGAAAATGGACTGACTTCAAGGCCCTAGCAGCTCTGATTCACTCAGAGCAGCTCTGAATTGTTCTGTTTCACATTTTATGCTTCAGGGAGAACTTTGTTTGGAGAAAGGATTTCATAGCTTTAAAAAATAGAAAACCGCCAATGTTAGGGTAACATTACAATTAAACAATCCCAGTGAGATGGGGATGGACCCAACCTGCTAGGTTTCTTCATCTACACTACAGAGAACTTCTGTCTCTAATCCCTTGTGACTACCATATTCTATGATCTTTGTGAGGTGCAGGCTGCCAAATCACAACCCTGGCTCCCTTTTCCACCTCATGCTCCTTCAAAGGCCAATATTCATGTTTGTTACAACGAAGGGATTTTCTGACTCCTTTTACCTCTGAGGTCTTTAGAGAAAAGCCCGCAATCATTGCAATAAGAGTAAATTTTTGTTGAACATTTATTATGTGCTAGCACACTGTGAAGAGGCTGAAAACATGGTCCTTCCCTAAAGACTTTATTGCAGTGATGGAGAGCAGAGGTGAGCACCTTGGAAGGTAGATCACAGTGCACTGTGTCCCAATGTGGAGATCACACCCCAAGGGGCTTTGGGTTGGGAGGCAGCAAAGGCACTCTGGTAGGCGTGACCAGGCAAGGATAAGCAGTGTGCGGCAGTGTGTGGCTCCCTCTGTGCCTTCAAAGGCTGGCAGGGTCATGAAAAGAGGTGCCCACAGGGAATGGCCTTCTTGGAAGAGACTCCAAAAGATGAGCTCTTTTTGGATATGGTGAATAGAGCAGTTAGATAAGAGTGATAAGTTCCTGAGAGGGAACCGTGGGAAAGAGTCTGGAATGGTGAGTGGCTGTCACATTGCTAAATGTTTAAGAGGGAATTAGGGCTTTTTCCAGTGGGGATCCATTGAAGGTTTTGAGCATTGGAGTGACAAAGGAAAAACTGAGTTTAGAAAGATTAATATGGCTACAGAGTAGTTTGAAGTGAATGAGTTAGAGGTGGACAAGAGAGTTGGGACAGTAAGTACATGAGGCACAATGAGATACAGGTGACGAGACCTGTAGAGAGGCAGTGGCAGGGCCATGGGAGCATCGGGGGCCCCTGGGCCTGAGCCGTGCCATTAGATGGGTAGGCTATGTTTGTCCACGCTCCAGAGTCACTAGGTCTCCTTCTCCTTAGGGACAAGATACCCTATCACTTACTTTCTAGGTTGCTTCAGGTTATCTCAAAATGTTCAGCGGAAACCAGCTCTCTTCTGGAGCGTTTATCACTCCAGCCTCTGGGGAACCCAGCTCTTTGCTAGCTTTCCCTTTCTCCAAGCCCATTTGTATCTATCACATCCACCATGGCTTAGTCAACGTGTATATATCCCCTCAAAGATATTTATCAGATAAATACCTGAGGCTGTCACCGGATCCCACGTTTTACATTTACCTTGGGGAATGATGCCCAGTGATTGATTTGCCTATGTGAACAGCAGTGGAGCCAAAAGGAGAGTTTGGGGTGGTTGCCAAGTCCCCAGCCTGGCAGGTGGGATCTGGTTGAAAGGAGCAAGAGACCACACAGAGAACATCTTCAGAACATTTGGGAAATTAATAACACAAGAATTAATATTCCTATTTCACAGTTGAAGAACTTGAGGCCCAAAGAAGACAAGGCCTTGGGTTAACCTTCTCCCAAGATCACATAATAAGCAAATGGCAGAGCCAGAATAGGCATACACATCTCTCTGCAACACCTGGAGGGCCCTGACAATAGCCCTTCTTTATTTCTGCTAATTCCTGCTGCTCTGGGCTGGGCCCTAGGCTCCCTACTATTCCTTACCTTACCCGTTTTCTTCACAGCTATGGTCTGTGCTATAGATCACAGGTAGTTAGTCCAAGGATGATTTGGCTGAGAAACGCTGTTCTAGAGAGAATAGAAGAGGTTAGTGTTACCATATGATCCAGCAGTTCCAATCCTAAGTTGATTCCCCAGAGAAATACAAACCTGTGTCCACACAGAAACTTGTGTATGAATGTTATAGAAGGATTATTCTTCAACCCAAATATTCTTCGACTGAGGAGCATTTCTCCCAGACAAAGCAATGCCCAATGAGGGCAAAAGTGGTTACCAAGCCTTAGGTGCACACTGTGCAGGTTGGGACAAGAGCATCACTCTGGGGGGTCACTGGGAGGACACCCCCCAAACACACACACTGTATGGAAGGGCCAAGGAAAACTACTCTACCCTTCCCACCCATGATTTATTGTTGGGGGGAGGCAGACGGCCTCCTCTTTGTATGGGTCTCCTTGGGAATTTTAGATGTGGAAGTACCTGTCACTGGAAACAGCATTTGCCTCCTAGAAGAGTTGCTAGAGCATTTGCCCGAGCTAAGGCAGAGGCAGCTCAGCTGTGACCTGCACCTTCCTAGAGCTGGTGAGAGATGGCCTCAAGCAAGGCTGTCCCTGTCACAGTTTCCACCCACACTCACAACACTGTTTTCCCTTTTAGTTAAGATTTGCTGAACACTGAAATCTGAGTTTCATAATTTTATAACCTCTTTAAACATTTTACTCCAATAGATCCACTGAAGTCTGAGTGTATGTGCATTAATTTTAACACAGTGAACTGTTATATCATTTGTTAGGTCCCAAAACTGATTATGGTTAAAACTGTTGACAGAATTGTTTCGGCACAAAAATCAACTAAAAAGTTGTGAAGTATTTTTAATAAGCATTGTAATGCATTAAAACTTAGTAATTGTCCTAGAAAAAAGCATCAAGTAAATCTCGTATTTTTGGAATCTGAGACACTTAATTGTTGGAGGAGGATGCTCCTATCATATAAGGAAAGCAAAATGAGTAAGAAGAAACCTTTGAACATAACTGAGTCAGTAACTAAATTAAAGTGTCAAGGAATGTCATAAACATAAAATGCATGACCCAGGTGAACCTGTGATATGACAGTAAAACTCCTGCACATCAGAACTCTAGGGTCCAGAGTCTGGGTTATTAACTTTTGAGACAGAGTCATGCCACCGTCTCAGACCCAGCCCGAGTCTCCTGGGACTCCACAGTTCCCTTTGGGGCCCTTCGTACAAATGGAGGGCTGTCTGGTGGTCTGCCAGACCCCATCTTCGATACTACTGGCAGTGGCCAGTGGTCAGTGGCCAGTTTGGGCCAACATTTGTTCCACGTCATCTGTGAGCTCTTTCACAACTTGCAGCGAGGGCCATCCTGTCCCTGCGGTTTATTCACATCTCCTCTGTCAGTTCAGGCAAGAACAGTCTGTGCTCTTCCTCTGCTGTGTGTGATATACTATCTTGGATCTGTCTGCTTTAAAAGCAATTTGGGAGTAAGTTTTCCCCAGAGTTTTTGGTGGCAAAAACAGAGACAAAGGATTCACTCACTCAGCCTGCCTTTGCTTTTTTCTCCATTCCAGAGCCCCTTGACCAGTGATGTTTTAAGTCTTTCTGCTTCTGACGCATTTACAAGGCCTTTTATTATTGGCTATAACTCTCTTCTTCAACACTCTGGTTCTGATTCTGTTTGAACCCTAGTTGATTTTACCTTGTAGTCTGACGACACTCTTCTTTGCTCTTTGCTCTCCTCTTTGGGTCCCTGTTCTCTTTTGGGTCAGCCTCTTCCTTTGCTAAGAAAGGGTGCAGGGCACCTTTGATTCCATTTGGATTTATTGGGCACCACTTCTTTAAACCGAACACATCTTTCTTGGACCTTCATCAACTTCTTTCCAAGTAACCCTAAACTAATTCTTTCTCCTTACCTTTTCTGAAGAAGGGTCCATATTTGTTTCTTTGCTAAATTTGAATAATCTTGTGAACTCTTTATTTTCATTTCTTTCTCTCAGTAGAATGTTTAATTTATTCAAAAGTTTGTGTGTGTTTGCCAAAAAGAGACTCTTTCAGGTGTTCAATCAAACTATCCCTTCATCTGAGGAGTACGGAGAAAAGACAGCTAGCCAGGACTTACTGTGAAAACCATTGTATTTGGGGGCAAAAGGGGATACTTCTTTGAATTAATCTTCTCATCGTCTTTAATCTTTAGCTTCAGTTTTGCTAGAAGAAGTTGGTGTTTGAGTGAATACCAGAGTTCATTCTTATTATTTTCTGTTTTGTCTGAAACTTTCATAGCACATAAAACAACAGATCAAGAGGCGGCATTTGCCTTTGTAGAGGGAAAAACCAAATTTATCACTGCAGGTGATTTTTGGTGGCAGAGCACTGAACATAAGCTGCCCCTGATTTTCAGGCAGGATAAGAAATGCTTTTTTGCTTTCTCCTATGTGCTAAATCCCATCGCAATAAAATGTAAACAATTTAGAATGACCTGTGCGAGAACACACAGTCTTCCACAATGCCTGCAACGCTTAAGTCATTGCCATGAATGTGAGAAATGCAGGCAGGGATGGCCATCACCCTTTGGCAGCTCCTCCCAGACCCATGTGCTACTGACTGCTAGGGGGTTCGTACCATGTGTAGTGACAGGAGCATTTCTCTCCATGGATTTCGCAGTCAATTGCCTCTGGATCAGTCTGTCCTGTGATTGCCTCTTTACCATCTGACCCCAACTAGACTCCAAGGACCCGAAGTGCAGGGCTGTGACTTTCTTACTTGTTCTTCTGTCCCCAGTGCTTAGAACAGGACTGGCACAGTGGTTGGCAAATATCTTGCGTTTTTAATGATGGCTTTCCAGACAGTAGAGACAAGGAGAAGAACCAAGCCCAGCAAAATCCTCAGGCTGTTAGCATTGATCTTTCCATTTTTGAATACATGATGTTTCAGCTCTCAAGACAGAGGGACTCTGAAATCCTCTATGAAACTGATGTGATTCACAACATGTAGATTGTGCCTCCACAGAGGTCTGCAAGGGCAGCCTGAGAGTCATGGTGTGCAGTGGAAGGAAAGAGCTCTCAGGAGCTATTTGTTCACTCTGTCTTTGTGGACCCATTGGGATCCTCAAATGATCTGGACTGATTCCAGAAAACTGCCTCGCCTTCCCTGAACTGTCTTTATCCTCCCCCATGACTGTCCTGTGATTGCAAGGTGTTGGGAAAGATGATCACAGGCCATTCACGTATTTAACCATCAAGCCTTGTTGACAAGTCCAGGGCTCCGTTCTTAGTTTCATTTTACCTGACTTAGCAGCAGCATTTAATGTGTTCTCTCCTCCTGGGAGCACCTTATTTCCACTTGGTTTCTAGGCGATCACACTCTCCTGGTTTTCCTTCTGCTTCATTGGTCTTTCCTTCTCAGGCTTCTTTAGTGTTTTCTACTCATCTTCTGAATCTTGAATTTTTTCTTTCTATTGATTCTCTTGGTGATCTCTGTAAGTTCCACTGATTTCAATATCCGTGAAAGATGGGTGACTCCCAATTGGTCTCTAGCATGGACCTTATGCACCTATCTGGTACTCAACCTCTGCTCTGGGACACCTTGGACATCTCAAATCTAATAGGTCTGAAGTGGAGCACCTGGTCTCTCCTCTCAAACTGCTTCTAGAAATGTCTCCCTGATCTCAGTTGATGGCAGCCCCATTCCTCCAGATGTTTAGGCCAAAACCCTTGTAGTCACTTGACTCTTCTCTTTCTTCCACATCCCAAATTCCTGGAAATATTCTAAATAGATTCAGAATCTGCCCACTGCACTGCTCAGGCCAGGTCTCAGCAGCCATTGTTTCCCAGGTATATTACTACAGCAGTGCTGTGATCAGCTTCCCGCTTTTACATGGCCCCTGCATTCTATTTGGAACACAGCAGAGAGTGATGACAGTATCATATAAGTCAGATTACATCACTGTGCCTTGTTGACAGTCCTCCTGTGGCTCCCCAGCTTGCTCAGGGTAGAAGCCAAACTCCTTCTAGTGTCCCTCAGGGTCCTGCCCCCACGGACTTCTCTCTTCTGGGTCCCACTGACTCCCTGATGCCCCTAGATCAGCCCCTTTGTCCTGGCTGCTCCAGATATCCTCTCGGCTCCCTCCCTCCCCTCCTTCAACCCTGTGCTTCTGTATCTGCTTCTCAGGCGGCCTTCCCTGACCACACACCTCCAACCTCTGGCGTCCTGCGTCCCTTTCCCTGCTCCATTTTTTTCATTGTACTTAATATATTTTAACATAGCTTATGATTCATTTATTAGCTCTAGTCTCTGCTGAATCCCCCCACTGGAAAGTAAGTGCTATGAGGGCAAGAAATTTTATTTGTTCACTGTGGTGCCTCTAGAACCTAAAAAGTGACTGGTACATGGCAGATGCTCAATAAATATGTTTAATTAATTAATTAACCTGGGTTATAGATATTACTAAGTTGGAGGCAAGAGAAAATACACTTGATGGCTCAATCACGATAAGAAATTATTTCCAGTTACTAAACAAATAGGCCAAATTTAACACCATAAAGGTTGAGATACATGTACATTCTCATAGTCAAAGCCAAAAGCCAACTCTACAGACAAAAGATGAGGAGCATACCATGGAGAAACCTAAAGGTTATATATGACTGCCATTTCAGGACTGAACAGCAGGGACATGTTTTTCATCTAAAGGCTAAGAGTGGAAAGAGAATTGGGTTCACCTCCGAGCCTCATGCCTAAAGAGAATTTAGGGAACATGGTCTCATCTGGAAAGGAGTCATCTTGGGTGGCATGTAATGGTCATGGGAAAAATATTTGACTATTTTTTTTTTCAGCAGGAATAACTCAAAGAAGATCTAACTAGTTTCCTTAGATATTTGACAAGACATTTTGTGGGAGGGGGAACATCCTTTCTTACTTCAGTTGGCAGAATGGAAACCAGTGGGAAGAAGATAACTTTCAAATAAAGATAGGAAGATATGTAAATTGGTGAGACTTACCCAAGTATAGAACAGCAGCTCCTGGAGGCTAGAAGTCTCCCCTCTCTGGGGGCACAGCAGGAGCTTGGCAGCAAATTCCTGACAAGGATGTTGTAGGGGGAATCAAAACTACATTAATTCAGACCCTCCATGAAGCAGACACAAAGATGGGATTAGATGTATGAAAGATTTACCGGAGAAATGAGATGGGAGCTGGAGGAGGTTGGGAGAGCCATCAGATCATAAGAAAGGTCTGATCTCTGTAAAGGAGAGAGGGAAGGAAGGAGGATTGGGTAGGGTAGGAAGCGCTATAGCCTGCTGTGTGGGTTATAAGGTAGTGCTGGAAAGGCCACTCTGGAGTCTTTGAGTGGAAGTTGCCCATCAGAGTAGTCCCATATGTCGCAGGAATGGTCTGCCATGGCATCCCTGCTGCTCCAGTCATTGGCTGGGTGCAGCCTGTGGGAATCAGGGCCTCTGTGTGAATATGGTGATGGACTGCGGAGTGCAGGAACTGGGGCCGTTAGTTAATTACTCTTCAAGGATTAGGAACTCTGAGAGGTGCATTTCACAGACACCACAAGGTCTCTAATGGGAACCAGGCATACCTGCCTTCAAGGTCCCAGAGGACACTCTGACTCTGAGCCCTTATCACACTTATTACTCTTTATGGCTTTCCTGGACTAGAAGCATCTTCGGAACAAGTGCTCTGCCTCCTCTCCCCCAGGGGCTGCACGTAGTAGGGACTCATTCAGGGTCCAATGAGTAGTGGAGAAATCAGCAGCCCCCTTGTGACCCCGTAGCTGTGCTGTGTAATTCCAGGTCTTTGAGGGCAATCTGTTAACTTGAATTGAGGATAGTAAATGTCATTCAGCTGTGGTCCCCAGAGAAACCTTTGTAAAGTGGGGTTCGAGTAAGGAAAAGACCTTCATCACAGCAAAAGTGCCAGGACTAAACAGAGCAGCCCCTGAGCAGAGCACAGATTGAAGCCTCGTCCATTACCTGCCTCTTCCCCTAGAAAGACAGCCCTCATTTATTATTTCCAGACTGTTTTCATTTTACTTACACCACATGAAAAAATGTAGAATTGGGAAATAAGTAATATTATTTCCAAACAGAGATTTCTGAATCAACTTTACAGATTTGGAATTATCTTGTTTCCAAAGGTTTGATTTGTTTATCATTTCTTCATTTATACTTGTGAATTCCTTATTGGAAATGCCCTCATTTGGAAAACTGACTATACCTCTGTTGTTGGTCTGTGTTCATGTCTTTTTGAGAGATACCTCCTCTCTTCCTTTTAAAGTATAATAAAATCTAACTTGAAGTATTAGGAAGAGATGTTTGCTAGAATGTTCCTTTCTGTTGTACAGTAATTCTGTACCAACTGGTTCTACTCTCTCATTATCATCTCTTGCCCCAGATTCTCATCTCTGCAATAGCTCAGCCCACAAATGCAAGACTGAGGTTCCTTCAACACCTTCTTCTCAAAAACATTACAGTGTTCCTCCTTTCCTCCTGTCTTTTCCTTTGATTCCTCCAACTGTCTCTTATTTTGGTCAAGCTTTGCTGCCTCTGAAAGTCCTATGTCCATTCCAGTTCCCGTGCAGACATGCTTTCCTCTCCTAAATGCTACCTTCTCTCTCCTCTGTTATCCAAACTCTACTGATTCTGCAAAACCCACAAGAAGTTCTGCAGATCCAGTTCAGCTGATAAAGAAGGGGCAGAGTTCAAACTGAATGCCATTTTTCTCCCTGCTTACCTCTGGAAGATGGCCCTTCCCCTATAATTGAGTGTCTGTTCAGCTGCCCTGTTTCTTCCTCTCTCCACAGCCCCCTCCACCGTTCCCATCATGCACCAAGTCAGTGCCACTATGAGGAGCATCACCTTGTCATGGCCACAGCCGGAGCAGCCCAATGGCATCATCCTGGACTATGAGATCCGGTACTATGAGAAGGTGAGCCAGCTCTACCTATAAGCTTGCAAGACCCAGGGCTAGCCACTGTTCCATGGATGGTTGCTAGCTGAAGGCACAAAGGAGATAGGCTGCTGAGGGAGGGAGGATTCTGGTAACAGAGGCCAGAAGGTCCCTGGGAGAGTTCTCCAGGTCTGCCCTGGCAAAAGTCTTATTCAAAGCCCAGGCACTTTCTGTGCCAACTAAGGAGAGAAACTTCCAGTCCACCATCCTGCAATCTGGATAGTTCACTGGCTGGGAAGGACCAGTCCCATTCTTCCAGCCATGTGTTTGATATACTAATGCGGATGCCACAAAACTGCCAGGGGTCCCCAACCTTCAGAAGAGTGTGTGGTTTGGTAGATCAGTGTTTTCTAAAGTGTTTGTGTACCTCCAAAATAAGCTTATTTATAAATTATATGCATGTACTACTGCACTAATATATTTGTGGAGAATAAAAAACATGTAAAATGTTTTTTTTCAAAAGGCTATTCAAAAGGATGAGATAAAAATGAACAGAAATAGAAATTTATATATTATTTTCTTTGACTACCCTTTAGCAGCTGCTCCTGGGGATGACAGTGGGGTATGTGCTGCCAAGAAAAGGGAAATGGTGCCTGGTGGAACTGGTCCCTGGCCTCCCTCTTAACCAGGGCGAACTGCAGCCTTTGCAAAAATCTTAGGAAAGTATAGTGCCTTCTGGTTTAACCCAACACATTATTTGTAAAAACACACTATTCATTCACTTATTTGTTCAATAAGTATTGTCAGCTATTTAATAGGTACTATTCTAGGATATATTAGTGATCAAGCAGACAAAGATTCCTGCGCTTGAGGAACTTACTTTCTAACAGAGGGAAACAGACAATAAACAGTGAACATAACAAATAAGAAAATCATGTAGTGTGTTAGAAAATGAGCAGCATAGAGGAAAAAAAAATTTAAAAAAAGTAGCAGGGTAAATGGGATCAGGAGGGTCTGGCTTGGGGAAGAGCAGTTTGAAGAATTAAATAGAGGGGTAGAGATAGGCCTCTTGGAGAAGGTAAGATCTGAGTAAACGTGAAGAAAGTAAGACTGTTGTGAAGCAGTTATCTGGAGGAGGAAAGGGCAACAGCCTATGCAAAGGTCCTGAGGCAGGATCATGATGGTGATTCAATGAGCAGGAAGGAAACCAGCATGGCTGGAGTGATGCAAGCAAATGGGGAAGTAATAGACAGATGAGAGAGGTTACCAGAGGAGGTCATCATGTTAGGTCTTAAAGACTAGGTCGAGTGCAGTGACTCACACCTGCAATCCCAGTACTTTGGGAGGCTGAGGCAGGCAGATCACTTGAGCTCAGGAGTTCAAGACCAGCCTGACCAACATAGTGAAACCCCATCTCTACTAAAAATACAAAAAATTAGCCAGGAGTGGTGGCAGGCACCTGTAATCCCAGCTACTCAGGAGGCTGAGGCTGGAGAATGACTTGAACCCAGGAGGTGGAGGTTGCAGTGAGCCTGATCACACCACTGCACTCCAGCGTGGGTGACAGAGCAAGACTCTGTCAAAAAACAAACAAAACAAAACAAACAAACAAACAAACAAACAAACAAACACTGGAGCTTTTGCACTGAGTGAGATATGGAGCTACAGCAGGTTGAGGAGCGGAGGAGGGACAAGATCTGACTTACATTTTGGACAGATCATTTAAGCTGTTCCACTAAGAATAGGGCCTGGTAGATCTACCATTATTAGCAAGGATGATGGTGGCTTGAATCAGGGTAAAAGCAGAGGGCTGTTGAAATGTAGTTGATTTCCAGATATGTCAGCTAACGGCAGAGCCAACAAGATTTCCAGCAAGTTGGATTTCCGGCATGGGAAAGTTTTGGCCTGAACCGCTAGAACAATGTAGCCAGCACTGACTGAGTAGCGGATCACTGTGGATAGAGCATATTTGATGTGAGGACAGGAACACAAGTTCAGCTCAGTGTCTAAAATGCTTGTAAAATGGCCAAGCAGAGGTGTGGGGTAGGCAGCAAGAGGTGCACATCTGGAGTTCAAGGGAGGGGACTGGGTGAAGATGTCCATCTGGGAGTTGTCAGTATGTGGATCAGAAAGTCCTGAGCCTGGGTGAGGTCTTGCAGTGGATCAGTGGAAATAAGCAGAGGATCAGAAACAGAGACCTACAGCCCTGCAACAGGGAGGCCGTGCTGAATAGTGGGACATGACTGCACTGGAAGCAGAAGCCCTCATTTCCAGTGCCCTGTGCAGCTAACCAGCCGTGGAGCTGTGGTCCAATTACTTAACCACTCTAGGTCACAGTTTTCACATGTATAGAATGGTAGCAGTTTACCTCCCTGAAAGCGGAGGTCTAGATGGATCACCAGTCTAGTCTGTAAGGAGGTATGCCTTTCAGCCATTAGAGCCGAACTTGCAAGCAAGGTGGAGGATTAAGCGGCATTCTATTCTACTTAGAGAATATTGGGTTTTATAAAGAGTTGATTCAGATACTTCAGTGAATTGGAAATAATTTAAACCAGCTGAATTCATAAGCATCTGTTATATCTAATCCATTTTGGATTTAGGGCTCGTACTTGCTAGATATTTTTTGTCAGTTAATGAAGTAAATGTTAACTTTTTAACATGTTTTGGAACAATGTGTTTGGACTAACTGACCACATGGTCTCATTTTGTCATCAGAGTTGACCTAACAAGGGCCCACCCAGTCCCCCTTCCCACACACATAAGCTTGTAGCTCTATTGAAATAACACCTCATCTCAGAAAAATAATAATAATTTCTCCCCAGTGTACACCTATTGTGTGCCAGGGATTTTATAAACATTATCTACTTTCTTCTTCACACGCCAATGTGGTAAATGTTAGTATCATTGCTATGGGTAAAGAAGTTTTTAAAAGGAAAGCAAAGAAGTTAATAAAACAAAAGCCTTGTCCAGAGTCCCACAGCTGGGAAGTGAGCCTGGGTCCTTTGCCCTGCAGCAGTTGGTGGTGCTGGGAAGGGGGGAGAATATATTAGAGACCACATACTCCTTCTCCTCATCTGCCGTGCCCAGAGCAGTCACGTCAGTGGGCAGCCAGGGTAGGGGTCATAGGCTTAATGACAGGCTGAGCACTGAAGCCACGAGGCTCATGCCTGTGTGTCTTGGCTCCTTCCTCCCAAACCAGCCCAAGCTCCTCCACTGCCTTTCCCCTTACAGCTTTCCCTTGAAAACTGTAATTAACCTCAACTTCTTATGCTATAAAAGCAGCTTATTCTCCTATTCAGGCTACCTCCCTGCTCCTTAGTAATTTGTACTAATTATTAACAGACACACATACACAGCAGCCCAGTGCCTGCAGCAGCTTCCACACCTCAGTGAAGCATATTATTGTCCCCACTCCAGAGGAGAGAATGCTTTCCTTGGGAACACAGAAGGTTATTTGCCCAAACATTGGTTACCATTCGGTATATTACTGTGGAATGCTCCTTCATTTATGGAGTGCTTGGCTACAAAGTCCATTACATTGCTTTAACTATTCCTAGGATGACCAAAGAAAAAGATGTTGGGCCATGAGGGCCTTTTGAAACAATGATGATAATTCATTGTATGTTGAGTATCTGTTATGTGCCAGATATACACAGATTTATTAGCTCTGAACCTTAAAGGAAAAAAAAAAGTGTATGCTTGAGAACACATATAGCCAATTTATAGATGATGGAGCTATGTCATGGAAACGTTAAATGACTTACCCATAACAACACAGGTCATAGCTAGGGAGTCACAGAAACAGAACTTCACACATTTTTATTATACTTCAGTGGTGGAAACTTCTGAGCTTGATAGGAGCATGGATGCAAGCACCCCTGATGCTGAGGATCTCAAAATTAATGTGGCTCCCACAATAAGAGATTGTATCTTAGTAATAAGTCCAAATACTTGCGAACAGAATGATCTGCCTGTCTGCTCCGTGTGGCCTTGGAATCCTGGTCTTTAGAAGATGTAAACACAGAATTCAGTGCAGTGGGTGTCTTGGATTTGGTCCAAAGAAGCAAACCCCATTATTTCTTCATCTTGCGCCATCTCCTCTCCCCACAAGGAAGCCCCAGCCCCTTCATCTAAACCAGGAGTCAGCAAGCTTTTCCTGTAAAGAACCAGAAAGTAATTAATTTAGGCTTCTGGGCCATATGGTTTTTGCCCCAACTGCTGTAGTGGACTCTGCCTTTGTAGCAGGAAAGTAGCCATAGGCAATATGCAAATCGATGGGCGTGGCTGGGTGCCAGTAGAACTTTATCAAAACAGGTAGCTGGTTCATGAGGGCAGTTTTGTAACCCCCGAAAACCTTCCATGGGTCTTCTGCTCCACATAACCCTTGGTTTGCACTTAGGACCCCTTTCAGTTTCACTCTATGAGTAGAATTGATGAGGCTTTTGCTTCCTCCACCAGCACATTAATAGAGAGCTCAGATGCCATCCAGCTGATGACACTCCCGGAGCCTTTCCCATGTTCATCTCCTTCCCCATTTTAATACATTTCCATTCATCATTCTCTCTTGTTTACTGTCGTGTAGCACTTTTCACTCCTGGTGTCAGCACTTGTAGGCAAACCATGGGAGGAGCATCTACATCTGCTCTCAGCTGTCTTAATGATTAAGCGTTTATGGTTACTCGCGCTTCATAATAACTGTATAGGTTAGGACTGGCTGGTTTAGGCCTTGGGAATTCCTACCTTTCAAATTTTAGGATCATTTTCTCATAGAGACTCTTTCAGACCTTGGCAATATCTTGTGCTCAATCAATTGATTCAAATAACTGGACCGAAGTGTACTGTTTATTTATTCATTTAGCATTGAGTTGTTGAGCACCCAGGTGGTATGAGCACTGCGCTGCATTTGGGGTGGGGAAGGAGAAATGAGGGAAACATCGTCTCTGCCCTCAATAGCTGCATTCTCCATCCTGCATCCTCTGTCTCCGACATACTTATAATCAGTCATAAGCAACCAATAGAAAAAAAAAAGTAACTTGTGGCTGTTACTGATTTGCCCGAAATTGATTAATGATTTTGTGGGGAACAAGAGCTAATATTCATTTTAATCACTGAACTTCTTCAAGAATGTTTGGACTATAAAGTGATTATGGAGTAATGTTTGGTCCTCACAATCCAAATACCAATGATGTATTAAAATAGTTTTTCAATAACAGCTATCCAGTCACTGCTTCACATTTATCAACCAGTGCCTGATTTCAGCAGATTCTAGTAAAACCAGAGAATTCAGGCAGCTGCTTGGATTTTGTAGCAATGGAATTTTATTCTTATTTGCAAGGTGACTTGGTGATTTTCATAGTTTCAGATCTCAGATCTGCACTGTGTCAAAATAGAAATGATCAAAGTTCTGGATGACATCCCTTTTATAGTGGACAGCCTTTCTTCTGAATCCCTGATCGGTGGTGGGGAGGCTCCCCTTGTGTTTAAATAGATCAAATAGTGGGTGGGCAGCTCCTCTGCAGGCAGTCTCTCCCAGGGCCCAGTAGACATCCCCTTCATTAGAGTGAGAATGGGCCTCTTTGTAACTTTCAACTGTGTGTTTGAGCTGACCTGGGACCTGTGGTCCCTCACAATTGCTTCTGAATCATTTATGGGCATTTCTAATGCCACCCACACTTCAGATATGCCAATTACTTGCAGTCTCCTGAACTCCTCTAGGCCTTGCTTCTGTATGTTTAATTCTGTTCTCACTCTCCACATCCATCCATGTGGCTAATTTATTTCATCTTTTGTGACTCAACTCAGGTCACCCTTTCCCTGAGTCACTCTGCATCTCCTCTGAAGTCTGGGCTGGATGGTCCCCTGCTGTGCCCCCACATTCCCCTGAACTGCTCTCTGCCAACTCACTCAGTCAACACTGCTGTCGTCTTCTGTTTATTTATCAGTCCACCCACAGATGTTGCATCCCCAGAGGAAAGGGACCATGCCTTTGTACCTGCAGCCCATGTATAGCACCCAGACACAGTAGTGTGTCATAAATGTAACTGGCTGGCCAAATGAAGGAATGAGCGAGTAAATACACATCAGGTCATCTTTGATTTTGCAAAGTAGGCTTTTATATATTTTAAACAATGGGAATTTCTTTTCATACTGTATTCCTTACATATATTTATGTAAAATATATTCTTTATATATTTTAAACAATGGGAATTTCTTATCACTGTACGATATCCTAGCTCAACTCTCTTTCTTCTGTCATTTTACTGAGAATGTAGTTTACAATTTGTAAAGCATGCTTCTTGAACCACTGTGCCTAGAACTCATCTCAGTGCCCCAGATCTGCACAGGAGACACAGGGACTTGGATCACTCCCTCCTAGTGATCCAAGCTCTTCATTTTCACTAGATCCTCATTTTTCTCTAGGATTCATGGTGCAGACAAAGACAGGCCCGGGCTTCAAGCTTCTGTTCGTGCATACTTGCAGATAACCCAGAATCTTTGCAAACAAAAGATATGCTCATGTGAAAATGATTAGAGGCCAGGCTGGTATATAAGAAGGTGCTGGGGTGAGGTGTGATTCGGAATGACAGTGGTGTAGAGTCCACAGCCCAGACTGGTGAGAGAAACCTTCCAAGAGAGGAGGCCTTGGGAAACATAGGCTTAAGCAATCAGGATGGAGTAGAGGAGCCCTGGAGAGAGACATTTTAGACAAAGAAAACAGCCTAAGCAAATGCCTGCTGGCCAAGATGTGGTCCCCGGATGTAGGGGAATGTGAGCGATTGGAACTGACTTCAGCATGAAGGACCTATGAATTTATATTTAAGAGTTGTGCCTTTGCATGATGATAGTTCTTAAGAAAAGAAACGTGGCATTGGGTGGGGTGGATGGGGAACATCAGGAAAGACAAGAGGCTGCAAAAGTCCAGGCACAAATCACGTGTTTAATAAGATAAGCAGCAAGGAGAAAAAGCCACCTTTAAGGGCACTCATGATGGGTGAAAGAGTCATGCTTCTGGAAAACAGAAGAACTCTCTGCACATCAGAGGACCCAAGTGTGCAGATGACAGGGACTATAGTGGTCAGCACAGAAAGTGCTGGAGAGAGTGACAGACAGAAGAATGGGGCTGATCCCGAGTAGGTGGGGGGATGAGGACACAGGGGCCACTCTCCAGGAAGAAGGTACGTGCCCACTCTGAATGCTGGCAGGAAGTAGCTGGGGGATGCACACCCAGACACAGGGCAAGGTAAGGGCAGAAGTAGGTGTGGAGGGCAGTGCAGAGTGACCTCTACCTCTTCAGCAGAGTGGACACAAAGCCTTTTGCCTGAGTACTTGAAGGAACTGAAGGGAAGTGATGTAGAACAGCCACTTTGGGGAGTGTCTAGGGAGATCCTGAGTCAGGGGAGAAAACAGGACAACTCAGCAGAAGCAAGACAAAGAGAGGCAGCAGGGGGCAGATGGATGTTGCCTAGTTTGCTTCTGCTGAGGTCAGAGACTTGAGGGGATTTTGCAAAGCTGGATATGCTATGTTATTTCACCTCTGAACCGTGGGGGAGGAGGACCAGAGAATGACTATAAGCTTCCTTGCCAGTCCCTGAGCACTCAGCCATTTCCCTGGGCCTCTTTCTTCAGAATGTGGCCACCTCATAGTCCAGACCTGACCCTGAATCCCTCCATTCCCTTGGCCCAGATCAGACTTCTTGTCCCCATCCAGAGGAATGGCCTGGAGCTGATGACAACTTCCAGCAGATTTTCAGGACCAAGAACTAATGGGGCCTGAGTACTCCAGGGTGGAATGGGCTGGGGGTGTAGCCTTCAGGAATGGGATGGTGACCCTTTCCCTTGCTTTCTTTTAGGAACACAATGAGTTCAACTCCTCCATGGCCAGGAGTCAAACCAACACAGCAAGGATTGATGGGCTGCGGCCTGGCATGGTATATGTGGTACAGGTGCGCGCCCGCACTGTTGCTGGCTACGGCAAGTTCAGTGGCAAGATGTGCTTCCAAACTCTGACGGATGGTAAGGGTCAGGGAGGGCAGTGGCAAAATCACAGCACAAGCAGTGTGGGAGAAAAAGTAGCCCCAAAGATGCTGCACTAGCCAAAATGCCAATCTCCAACTGGATTCCAGGGGAATTCCCTTCAAATGGTTTGCCTCCCAGTAGGGCCATGTAGATTTTCCTGAAGTCTGGCTCATTTCTCTCCCAACATCTGATTGGATTTGCCTTTGAAGGGTCTCTTGCCATGTGTGAGCTTGCATTTCAGCAATGAGACTCATTCCTGTCTCATGGAGCCAGTGTGCCCTCTTGCCTCTGTATCCAGGGCCAGATGCCTCTGCTGTTTCACCCTCACGCCCACTTCACTCCTCCGTGCTTATGGTCTGAAAGCTGAGCTAATGGCCCAGTTTCATGAGCCGAGGTCTTCAGGGAGGAAATGGAGAGACAAAATGTGGGATGCGGCAGTCTCAGGCACCTGGGATCTCAGAAATTTGAAGCAACTTCACATGTGACCCCCAGTACGTCCTGCTCAGATGTCTCCAGAGAGAACAGCCAAGGTGTCCTCAAGGCCAGAAAGTCTATCACCATAAATATACTTCTACCTTTGGGTTTTATTAGTTCCCTATTATCACTATCTGCCCCAGTCCTCTGAGACCACCCCCCTCAATAGTTCTGAAAAATCTGATTTCCCAGTGGCCTCAGCATTTTGCTCAAGTGTATCTATCTGACTGTGCCCACCACTCTCTCTCTTAGCTAGCCATTTACCATAGTTTATGTACTCATTTGTGTATCTGCCTACCTACCTATATTATCTGTATTTATTATTCACTTATGAGCTGTTTCCTGATAGTTTTCCAAATGTCAGTCTATTCCTGACTCCCCAAATTGAAAGCTTTCAATTTTTTCCTTCATTAATTAAATTATCCATAAAACCGTCTATCCTTATATAGCATTTTATTTTAGGCCAATGCTCTTAGTCTGGGTGTTTAATAGGGCTTGAGATTTTATCTTGATGCACATTGTATTTTTTAACAATTTTGAAATTCATTGGAAACGTTTAAAATCAGGTGGTTTCTTATACAAATCAGGATGTTGATGTTCTTGTGAAAAAATTGTAAGAAAAGCAAATGCTCATGGGCACTCTGGAGTGAGGACCTTGCCTTAAAGCTGAGAGGCCGCTGTTTCCATATGTTACCCACCACTTCCCAATATTTCTAACCTGGATGCTTTGATGTGAACCATCTGGCCCCTGTAACGCAACCTATTTTAAGTTTATTTGAGGTGAACTTTCTCTCCTATTTTGAGGATGGTGAGATGGGGTAGAGAGGTAAGCCAGTTAATTCAGGTTAATGAGGCTACTGGTATGAAAAGAACACAGACTGTCTTCTTTTTCCTTAAGGACTCTGTCCCCCACTTTGCACCTCACTTACTGTCTAGATTTATAGGCACTCTGGCATCAGGAGGTACACAGAATTAAAAGCCCAAAACTCAAAATGCTCTGAGTGCTGGTCTCTTGGCAATTCTACTAGACAAATCAAGAAGTAACAAATTTCTCCCAAGAAGGCTATTTCTTTTACATTTGGCAGTTAAGTGTTGCAAACCCAAGAGGGGCTGGAGGTAAGAGTGTTCTGGTAAGTGGCCAAATTTGGGAGTATTTATCTTAACGACTGAGATTCACACATGGGTACTGATTATGTTCACTGGGAAAGCAGGCCTGTCTGCAGAGCGAAGGTAGTCAAAAGGTTGATTGATGATAAGGTCATTGGGGCAGGGAGGACCTGTGGAATCCTGCCCAGAGTCAATGGCCACACTTTGGGCTGGTGACTTCCACACAGGACAGACCCACTATGGCCCTGGGCTGCTCTTAGCTACACTGTTCTGATCTTTGATGTAGCTGCCTAATTTTTAAAAAATCATTCAAGTTTCATATTACATTATGAAGTTTTTAATTTATAAAGACGTTGTTAAGGATGCTTCATTGTGGTTTCCTATGTATTTTTCTATTGCCAAATTTATATTTTAAATACACGTATTACAGAAAGCAAATACACATATTACAGAAAGCTCTCAGCTGAGGACAACTGAAAATTTATCTTCAGTCTTTAAAATTGACTTCCATCTTTAAAATTCTAGAGAGTGGGAGGCTTCAAGAACCAAAATCCTTGTTCTTAGAAATCTTTTTCCGCCAACATGGTTGAAGGATAGTTCTCAAACATTGGGGAATATTAGAATCGCCTGGACTGTTTGTTAAATATGCAGATACCCTCCTCTTCACCCAGAGGTTCTTATTCTGTAGATCTGAGGAGGGGTCTGGAAACAGGCATGTTTAACAGTCAGGCTCAGGTAATTCTGATAGCTCATGGGGAACCTCACTTTAAGAAGTATTGTCGGCTGGGCATGGTGGCTCACACCTGTAATCCCAGCACTTGGGAGGCTGAGGCGGGTGGATCACTTAAGGTCAGGAGTTCAATACCAGCCTGGCCAACATGGTGAAACCCCACCTCTACTAAAAATACAAAAAGTAGCCAGGTATGGTGGCGTGTGCCTGTAATTCCAGCTACTCGGGAGGCTGAGACACAAGAATTGCTTAAACTAGGGAGATGAAGGTTACAGTGAGCCAAGTTTGTGCCACTGCGCTCCAGCCTGGACGACAGAGCAAGAATGTCTAAAAAAAAAAAAAAAGAAGTATTGTCATTAGGGTTGCTAGATAAAATATAAGATGAACAGTTAAATTTGAATTTCAGACAAACAAAAATAGTGTTTTAGTGTAAGTATCTCCCAAGCAATATTTCAGGCATACTTATACTAAAACTTTATTCATTGTTTATCAGAAATTCAAATGTGATTGGCAGTCCTACATTCGTATTTGCTATAGCTGGCAACTCTAATTGTAATAGAACATAAATAGCTTGACTTCCATATGCCTAGGTCCTGAACATCAGATAGTAGTTCTTTCAAACACCAGTGAAAGCATAACTAGGACAATACTAATACTAGCCAGCTGCGCGAAATGATTTGTATAGATTAAAGAAAAGAGATGTAGTATTTAGGACACCCATGATAGAGCAGACAGGGTGAAATGTGCTTCATATGATTTGGTTTTTTTCCAACAGTCTGAGGGTCAGAAAGACTAAATCACGTGTCCAATATCACAAAGCTTACACATAGTAACACCAGGATTTAGATGAGCTCTGTCTGCCTCTGTGACCCATAGGCTTCCCATTCCACTGCATAATTCAGCATGGTTCTAACATTTGGCAGAAGTCTTGATCATTTTCTTCTTGAGTGGGAACTCAGAGTGCTGGGCCATTCATTTCTCAGGCATTTCTTCATCCTCCACAGTGCCTGGGGGTAGTGCTGGCTGACTGCAGATACTCTTTAAATATCTGCTCAATGAATCTGTTGACTCTGCGCCATTTCATAACTTCATGCTTTAGAAGATATTTCAGCAGCGGTTTTCATTTAGATAAGTCCCCTTCATTGGAATGTCCTTAACATGGCTGACAGTTCTTTGAGAGACCTTCCAATTGAGGGAATATAGATTGGGAGTCGTCTCTGCTCCAGGAATGTCATGAGCTGTATTTCCCAGATTCTGTCACGGCTGTTTTGTTTTCATTGTCTTTTGTTTACGGTTGTTTTTGTTTATTTATAACTTAAAAATTGCTGTTTGTTTTGGTTAGACTTACAGCTCTGACACATAGACACTGTCCTCTACATATATGTGTATTTAGATCATGTCTTTGGTATCGTGCACTGAGTATCAGCTGTATGCAAAGGGCACATGGGAAGAGTTCTAATGCCTCTTTCTCACCTAGATGATTACAAGTCAGAGCTGAGGGAGCAGCTGCCCCTGATTGCTGGCTCGGCAGCAGCCGGGGTCGTGTTCGTCGTGTCCTTGGTGGCCATCTCTATCGTCTGTAGCAGGTAGGTCCTCCACTCTCACTTGTTCTCCTCGGACCCAGAGAGCCCCTCTCCATATGCCCTTTCCCGGGCTGTGTGGATCAGATAGGGTGTGACCATTCACGACCACGATCATCACTCCATCTCAATCCAAGAGCAGCCTAGAATTCTTCAGATATTTATTTAGCTGGGAAAAAAATTGTATGAGAGCTGGGCAAGGCTATGAGTAAACAGTATCCATCCTCAAACCTCATTTTAACGAAGACTTTTAGCCCCCCTTACACACAATGGCTTTTCGGAGTGACAGTTACAAAATTGCATTTGACCCACTGGAGCATCAAGCCTGTGCACAGCCCATCCTCCAGTTAGAGAGCTCAGGCTCTCAGCAGCCAGCAAGAGGGAGGCAGACTGGCAGGAGAGAAGATGAAGAGGAAAGGGAAACTCTGAGTTCTGCAGAAGAGCTGGTCCTGAAAGCCTTGTGATTTTTTTAATACTGCTGCTACTGCCTTCAGTGGTTAGCCCAGATTCTGCCATGCAAACCCCTGTAGTTGGCTCCCTCCCAAGCAGTTCTGCAATGTAGCTTAAGTGCTGATGAACATCCTCTTTGCCTCTGCCCTCATCAGCTCTGCCCTCTAAATGGGGTCCCACAGCCCCGCTGGGCTTCTGTAAGACCTTGACTGGAAAGCAGACCCATCTGCCCACAGGGGTGAGGTGTGGTCAACCAGAGCTCTAACTGCAGCAGGAGGGCTGAAGTGAGAGTTGCCCAGTCCCCAATTCTGGGAGATGCCCCGGGTGAGCCCCCATCTGGACTGGGGCCTAGATGGAGGTACCTGGAACAGAGTGGTGGGTGTGTCCTGTGGTTGAGCGAGCACCTCTTTGTATCCGCAGGAAACGAGCTTATAGCAAAGAGGCTGTGTACAGCGATAAGCTCCAGCATTACAGCACAGGCCGAGGTAAGTAGAAAGCAGACACCCAGCGTCTAACCCCCACAGGCCTCTGAGCTAATGCTCAGAGTGCTCTTTATAGCCAGACTGACTGGTCCCGGTGGCAAGTTCGCTCTCAGCCCCAGTGCCTTGGCCACCTTTCTGCAGGTTCCCAGGGGCAACAGGCTGCCCTCCCATCTGCCGTCTACCTGTCGTGGGTACTCACTGGATGCCTGGTGGGTAGATTATTGTCTGTGTTGATAAGCCCATATAGGACACAGAATGCAGGGAAAAGATTGGGTTTAGCAAGTCAATGAATCCTCAAATCAGACTCAGTGGGAAAAGATGGAGGGCTCTCTATTAACATCTTCTGCCTTATCTTATCCAGTTGAGTGGCTGGGGAATGTGTTAACCAAATTCACAGATAAGCCATAGAACATGAATGTAGGGAATTAAAAAGATAGCAGAGCCCAAGAGGCCAAAGTGCTGGGATATCTCCCAAGTGTTTTCCTTTAAGCAGTATCTTTAAAAGTTTTTCTCACTCATTATCCTCCTCCCCTCTCTTTTATAAACCTATATTTATAATATCTTTATAACTAAAATTTCTTTTCACCAATGTGCAACATAAAGTTCTCTATCAGACTCATTTTCTCATCTGTATAATGACGGCATTACAGGATCTGAGAAAGGTCTCACTAGGTCAGTTGGGCCACCTTCCTGCCTCCAGAAAACAGAATTCTCAGATCCTTACAGCAGACACATTCTGTTTCTAAATAACTCCTTTTGAATTCAACAGATGCCCTCAGAAATCTGTCCCAGCACCATGTGCTATGCTCTGTCGAGGCTTCTTCTGTGAGCCTCGTGTCTCCCCTCATCCCCCTTGTTGCAATGTAAGGCCGGTGCTTCCTGTTCTGTCAGCAATAAGCATGGAAAACAGACCTCCCAGGTACCTACATGCCAAGCCTGCCTCCACACAGGGGTTCTTCTGGGGGCGAACATGGACTCCCAGGCCAAAGTTCTCATGGACCAGACTGCTGCTTCTCCAAGGTTACCCAAGGCGGGAAAGTGATGCCAGGATGTTCACAGAAGCAGCTGCACTATGAAGGAGCTTGTGTTCTAATGCGGCCAGTGCTGACTCGGGCTGTACAAAGGGCATTTTGTGGATGTGGCTTTCAATCTAAGATCAAGACCCTGCCAAGGGTTTGCAGAGGCCCAAGCCCCTGGCAGCTGGGCTGCTGCCCAGGGCACTTATTGCTGGAGGGAGCTGTGGGTTCCTCACTGGCTTGAGCACCACTGCTTTCCCACGATATCCCAGGGCAGCCCCCATCATCAGCAGCCCAAATGGGGGGCCCCTGTAGGCCACAGGCACAGCTCCTGCTATATTCAGAGTCCTGCTTATTCCTCTTTCTTTCTCTCCCTGGGCCACCCTAGGCCTCCATTGTCACTGATTTCAGAGGGATCAACCCTACTGTGTTCTCTTTCTCTTCCTATGGCCTGACTGTGTGCCTTGCCATAATCTACAGGATGCTTCTATTTATGTTGGGCTGTGCATTAGCCCTTCCAGGCAGGGCCTTACATTCCTCAGCTGGATAACAGGGACTTTGCTTGTACCTGTGATTCTCAAGTGATGGTGTACCCACTAGGGTGCCTCAGTATTTCCTCAAGGGCGACCTTCGTCTCGCTGCTTTCCTGCCTCTGCCTCAGGATCCTAACATTGCTTCCCTGACTCTTGCTCAGGGCTGACTCCTTTTCATCATGAGCCACTGTAAGGTCCATTTCAGATCTGGCATCCTGTGAATGCTGTGGATGAAACATTTAGAGGTAGTCATGTCAGCCTGAAAGCGGAGCCAGGACCATAAAGATACAACATTAGGTTCAAAAGGAGGACTCTCACTTCGAAGTCTAGAGATAGTCAAAGATGCCTTAGGATGCCTTAGGTGAGAGCTCCCTTTCCAAAAGCATGCAAGCCAAATCTTGGCTTCACCCCTTGGGTGGGGTACAGAGGGTCTCCAAACATCGAACGGGGTGGAACTTTTTGCCCTTTCAGCTGCTGCAACCTGAGATCTGCCTGTTCTCCTGCTCTCGAGGAGTAGCTATGCCAGGCCATCACATGGTACCCATGTGCACAAAAGCGTGCTTCCAAAATGCTCACAGCCACCTTTTGGGGGACTCTGTTACCTCTCAGACCAACAGAGGAAGATTTTACTGGTTCCTGAGATCCATAGAAAAACCAGTCCTCAGTCTGCAGTAATAGTGGCCTTGCTGGAACAAGAGAGCACAGCTGAAGGAACATTGTTGGCCAGCTGCATAGTCGCCATTCCTGGGACTCAGGATGGATGTAGGGTTTTTTGTGGGTCTGGGTTCACTCCCTTGGCTTCCTTAGAAGTCTGTCCTCTTTTTAATTTGGTTTGCCTTTTATAAATCTTGTTCTTTCCCTCTATTCATAACTATTCTCTTTTGATCCAACCCTGGGCACCTGACTCCTCTTTGCACCCAAGTTATCTGAACTCAGTCTCTTGCGTTGAATTGCATTTGTGCATTTACTCCTGTGAATATCCATCTCCCTGACTAAAGCTATTACTGTTGGAGAATCATGGTCAAAGGAGTGTAGAGCTGGCAGATGGCTCAGCACACATATAACAGAAGGGGAAATGGAAGGCTCTGATGGAGGGAGGGCCTGGCCAAAGAGGGGGTAGGGGTAGAAGTAATGGGTTAGGGAACTCCCAGCATTGGGAGTTTTGTTCTGGTAGCTCTCTTAAACTCATTGAACCTTCACAACCACTCTAAGAGAAATGAACTAATCTAGGAAGGTTAAGTGACTTATCTAGGGCACATGACTAAGTAGCAGAGGCAGACTGCACACCCTCTAAGCCTGGCTGCAGAGCCCATGCTCTTTCCACAGCCTGATTATGAGGAACAGCTCCAGGACTAATCCCAGCTGTCCAAGTTGGTGTTTGGTGGCTCCCCACTCTGAATCCCACTGCAGGAGGCAGAAAGATTGATAATGTCTGATCAGAATGTGTGCACATAATTATACCTGGACCATCCACAGGCATGAACTTCTGGGGGATGCAGACAGCAATTTGGAGCTCTGAGATCTTCCCGACTGGGGAGTAACAGAAAACCAGCAGCTCCCCAGCTTGTTCATTAATGTCTGAGCAAGCCCCTGCCTCTCTTGCCTGCAGGCAGAGCACAGGACACTACAGAGAGGCTGGCAGCCCCTCCCCTCCCAGACCTTCCTTTCAAACTGATGCAAAGGCTGAAGAAGAAATGACAGAAATGTTTGCAAACAGAATACCTTCTCTAGCTAGTTGAGACATGGCAGATCTGGTAAACCTGAGAAAATAATGTGGCTTCTAGGGCACTGGTTTATGTTCCTCCTCAGAGCCGGGAGCCCAGTGAACAGGAAGTAAAGAGAATTCGGAATTGAGTGGAAAGAGAATAGCTGGAAAGCAGGCTGGAAGAGAAGATGTGCTGGGTGTGGTGCTGGATGCTCTTCCACTGAGCCTATCGTGCATGTTTAAGGGTGGGAGGGTAGGGATGTGGCTTTCCGAGTCCTGGAAGAGGCAGAGAGTCAGTTTGTTTCATGGTTTTAGTGGGCCAGTTCTCAGTAGGTGCTGGCTGACTAACAACTGACTGGGTGGGATGATTTAGGCAGTCCAGGTGGCCACCTGGATGATCTAGGTAGGCAAGATAAGTTTGGGAATCTATCTTGAGAAAAGTTCCAGTTGATTCTACATTTGGGAAATGTAGAATCTAAAAGGTATTTACAAGGATTAGATTACTACATACTTCGTAGAGGTTGACACCTCCCTGATTTCTGAGTTGGGTGGAATGTGTGGGGGTAGGGAGAGTGGAAGATGAGAACTTGTTAAGGGGTTTAGGGTCGAGAGCTTTCAGAAAGCGGCCCTGACAGATTCACATCTGTATGCAGGCAACTGCAAATAACATTACAGCACTACTGTTGGTGAACTTTGGGAAAAGCACAAACAAATGGGGTATGTGCCCAAAGACTTTAGATTGACAGACACCCTAGTTTTCACATAGGGTAAGAGGGCAGAGCCCAGAGATTACAGAACAGGAGTCTGAACTTGATCCCTGCCAAACATTTGGAGAGACGATTAAGCAGATGGGTTCTGGGCATTTAAACTTGAATTCAGTGATCACTGGGAACCCCCAAAGGTTCATTAAGAAAAAAGTATAAGGGCCTCATCTAATTTACCAAGGTTATACCTTTAGTAAATTCAAGAGGAATTGCAGATGGAGTGAATTTTTATTTTGGCAAAAATATTTTATGATCTCCTAAGGGAAAGCATTTTTAAGTGGATACCGAGCTTGTCTTCCTATCAAAAGAAAGTAGGTTAGTGACTCTGTCAGCCAGGAAGGAAGTCCCTTGTGTTATTTTGGTCCTTGTCCTATTCAATCTCTTGTTTGTTTGATTGTTTTTTAAATTCATGACTCAGGTGCAAGCATAGGGAAGCTTATCAAGTGTGTAGGTAACAGTTGGAGAGCATAACTAACACCAGAGAAGATGAATCAAAATTCAGAACTATCCAACAGCTTTGAATGCTAATTTGAAATCTGTAAGACAAAATGTTAGCAGGATAAATCTGGAATCTAGTGTTTAGGTTAAAACAAAAATAAAGCAGTGCAAATAGGAGACCTAACTTGCTGTTTATTTGTGTGAAAAAGATGATTTAGTTGACCACATTCTTAATATCAGTGATATATAGCTGATTAAAATCCAAGCAATGTTATTGATGCAGTATAATACTAATAACCACCAGTATTGCACACTTACTGTGTTAACCACTTTACACATATTAACTAGTTTCATCCTCCTAACAGCCCCATGAGGTTCATTTTGCATATGAAGAAACAAAGCCTCAGAGAGAACAAGTCACCTGTTGAGAGTCGTGGAATTAATGATTTGCAAAACAAGGTTTAAAATTCAGATCTGTCTGACTCTGTGGTCTTGATTAGGGTTCAGATCAGAAAAGGTGATATATAAACAGTATCTTCTGTGTGGG